CTTGAGTCAACAATTCTTGAGCTTCGGTTTCGTTCATTTTGCCCGCGTTTTCAAACACTTTGCCGAACGACTTCTTCACGCCGTCAGCCATTAATGAATGGCCGCAGACATAGATGTGTGCCTTTTCGTTGACAATCAACCAATAGAGCAGTGATCTCTGTTTGAACACTTGATCTTGCACATATTGCTATACATATACAATATATTTTGTTAAATAAATAATAGTTTACAAATTAATGACAATCAATACCTTTTTGTGACCCTTTTCTTGAGAGTAGGCGTAGAAGAGTTCGTGAAGAACCCCTTTCCTGGCCATATCTGCCAGATCTGTGCCGTATATACTGTCCGTCTGTGAGTTACGACAGCCGAAGAACAGAAACATTTTTCCGCTCTCCTCTCCGTTCTGTAGGTCTGCCTGTCTTTGAAGCCAAAAGCCTCTGAAGGGAGCGATACCACTGCCGGCGCCGATCATAATAATCGGCACTTTCTTATTGTCGGGTAATCTGAACGCCGGAGCGCTTCGCAAATAGCAGGGAATGTCGACATTTGGGAAACTATTAATAAAACTGCTGCAAATGCCAAACCGTTTTGGTCCCATTCCGTCTGTCAATATATTTCCGATAATATTAGTAAAGATAAGTTTACGAATTCACAAAGAGATTTATTTGTATGGCACTTATACTATCCTCTGATTTAGGTAACACTCGACGTGAAGTAGGCCTCACTGGAAAACCCTTGACGAATATGAGTAATATCGGGGCTGAAGTAATGGTAATTCAGACAACAGGAACTCCGGGTCGACGTGTACTGAATGAAACTCATTGAGTACATCAGCCATATTAGGGCTGTTATACAGTATCCACTTCTCGTAGTCGTCGATATCCTATAAATTATTGATTATAGTTTGACATACAGGAACTCCGGGTCGACGTGTACTGAATGAAACTCATTGAGTACATCAGCCATATTAGGGCTGTTATACAGTATCCACTTCTCGTAGTCGTCGATATCCTATAAATTATTGATTATAGTTTGACATTAATTACAATTTTTCATAAAATTAATTAAAAAAGACAAAGACATACATCCGCCAACTTTTTGAGTCTAAAAGTGTCCCAATTATCGTTAGCCATATCTGCCAAGTATTTCAAGAATCGTTGAGTCGGAGGGGAACTGATGTCGAGATATCGTGTGAACGCAACTCTTAATGAACATGAGGGCAGTCGGGAGTCGGGCACCCATTTCCCGTCGACCAGACGTTGCAATTGTATGGGAGAGTCGGCGTCAGTATAGCCGCCTCGGTTCAGATGTCCTAACAGTGTGTTCACAATCTCTTTGGGATTCGATGGAAATATAGCCAAATGGTCTCCGGGTTCGTAATTGAACTGATTTTTGGCCACAAGATTGGTTGGCGTCAGTCGTACCAGATTTGTGTGCCGTTCCGATTGTTTGCCCTCAAGTCTAACTTTTGCCACAATTTTACACGATATGATTTTCTTGCGATGAATTCTCGCCAATTCGTTGTGTATTTGGTGTTCGTTATACTCGGCAAACACTTCAGTCATTCTCACCATTTGGTGGTCGTATGTCTTCTCATCGAAACTGGTTATCGATATGTCTTTGTCTACATTTATGTCAAACTTTTCACACGACGAGGTATAGCATTGGTGTCCCCAAGTGTTGAACGCCTGTTCCTGACCTCTGAGATCGTCTCCCAGACCAATGGGAAGCGCTTGCGTTGCGCCACAACTCTGAAGAAAATTATCAATCTTTTTGCCAAAAGCGCAGAAATGCGGGTATTGTGTCGATCCCAACGCAAACACACCATATTTCACATCTTTTAATGCATTCATTTGTTGGTTTTGATTTGATTTCGAAAGGCTTTTCCAGAATTCCTATTTTGTTTAATTAATTAAATGAATACAATTTATTCGCACAATTGCTAGATTGCTATACCTTTCCATTATCGGGCGCCTCTCCATTACCGAAAGTGCTGACCACAAACAACACCAGAGATTCGTTGAATAATTCCTCAAAGTTGTAGTTTTCCATACAAACGATTTGCACAGAAAATGACATTTTCATCAATTTTCCTAATTTTTGAGCAAAACTTTCAGATTTTCCCGTTTCTGTGGCATAAAGTATTGTGGCTCTGATCCGTTTGGACAGAACTCCGTTCATTAGCCTAACCGTCCAAAGGGCTGCCCTATTATTAGTAAACAACATTTAAATTAGTTTTAGTTTAATTGGTTTTGACAAAAGACATACTTCGCGACTGAAGTAAAACTATATTTTAGTTTCACTGAAGACGACATCCACTTATGAGTTCTCCACGCCTTCTCTTGATATTCAAAACTTGGTCTCAGATTATAATTAAGCATTTCTTGATGAAAGACAGGCGTAAGACTGCCACTAATTGGCGGCACAATCCAAACCCAATCCGCAGGACATCCGCCCCTTTGCTTATATTCTGTTTGCATGTGTTTAATAAAGGATTCTGAGGCCGAGTGGTGGTCAACAATAGTGACGCCAGCCTTTTGATAGCTGTAAAGGACGGCAATATTCATCTCAAGCATTGCCTTATCCTTCCATAAAGTGGAGGCATTAGAAACGTCCAAATCCATGAGTTTTGCCATTTTCTCCGTTATATTATAACGTTGAGGATCGCAGAAGTCTCGGGCGCCGATCTCTGTGCCCATATACCAGCCATTGAATGGACAGCCAGTGAACTGAAGGCCTCCGCAATCCAACATCATTTCGGAAACTGCGGGCAAAGCGTACCACTCGAGACCCAACCCATCAAACCATTGATAGTGCGGGTGTTGTATCTTAACTCGAAGTATAATCTCTTCGGGAATCTCGTAATATTTGGCCCCTTCTTCCGGCGCCGACACAACAATCGGCAAAACATCAAACATTCCGTTCTTGCCTTTCCATCCAAGTCTTTGACAGATCTAATGATTTAGAATTCAAATTATTAGATTAATATATTGAAACAAGATCAATCGTTTATATACCCGAGTGAACTCAACTCTGCCCGCATCGCCGATTACACTACCGTCCGCTTGAAGATAACCTATCAAATAATTTTTAAACATTTTTAAATCAAATCAAATTATAATTTCAATAATAGATATAATTACCGGCATAACCAATGAGTTGTGTATTCCATACTCTATAGTCATCTCTGCCCAAAATCTTTTGCGGAAATACCGTAATGAATGATCTAATGAACAAACAATTGCTTAATATTTCATTTTACTCATTAAAGTTAAGAATATTCTTACCTAAGATTGCCTTCATTTGTAGCCAAAGAGATGTGTTTGCAGAGAGCGGTGAACATATCATGAGTGGTGCGGACATGTCTGGCGTCCTGTATCTCCAGCTTATTCCATTGGATGCGTCCGATGCACCTTGATGCGTTACGCCACGCCGTCTTCGCACCGAAATGCAATTCCTCGCTCGACATCGTATAACTGCCCGTTCGCTCCACTTCTGTCGCTATCTCTGCCAGTCTTTGCGCCAATTCTGAAGAGCTCGGCCTTAAGTAGACGCCAAGTTATACAAAGTTATTATAATTTACGACAACAAAGTTAAAGCTATCCAAAATTTTAACTAGATTATAATTTCAACTATTAAACGATAATTTTTATATTTAAATTACAGTATTTATATTGACTACACTTTATTAATAGTATATTATATTAAAAGTTTTGATGACGTTTTTTAATGACAATTTTAAGATAAGATTGCTAAATGTATGGTTAGTCTTAAATGTAAATATTATACATTATGATACAAATAGAGGTAAACTTACTTTTTAAGGTGAATAAAGTATTGTTCCAAGAACTCAACAGCCTGATCCAATATGTCCTCGTTGTTTCGACCATTGTTTGAAGGCACTGTTTGTGCCATAATAGAGCCCATACAGGCATGATTAGTGCACGAAGAGGCCTAGTCAATTATTATAGTTTTAACAATTATAGAAACTTAATTTTTATAATTTAATTATAATCAATGTCCACAAAAATCTATACCTTTGAGCTTTGATGCAAAGTGTCAGTCAATTGATGAGCTGTTGAAACATTAGTAACTTTAATGGGAAGTTTGACGGGTCCGTGATGTAGGTATTGACCACTCGATGAACTGGAACTTTGACTCTCATTTATGGCCAAATTATTGATTTGCTTAGAATTGCTTGCAATCAAACCAATGCTTGAAGTGGTGGCCGATATACTGGTGGCCACTGGCTTGAGATCCAGTCCCTCATCTGCGGACAAAGAGCTAATTTGAGGCTCGAGTCTCATTTCTATACGTATATATTCTTAACAATCAAAATCTCAATAGGAATTATTAAAACTTTTTAATGTATTAAATTCTGTGAATGAATATCATCTCAATTTATACAACAAGTGGTGATGATGTGAATCCCGCCTCTAATTACTCTCAACCACAAGAAAATTAATGAGATATTAGAGATACTGAGAAATTCAGTAATCAATAACCAATTGAATTGTAGGGAAAGAATTGCATCGGAAGTCATCATTACATTTAGAGTTTGAGTTCAATTATCTTTTTATTGGGAATTTTTTTCTATAATTAACTATTGATAAGAAAATTGTGAAAAACAACACTTTAAAGTGATATTCAGAGCTTTTTGGGGAAAAACAGTTGTTCAGGGATTCTGTGTGTTTGCAAAAACAATTCAAGGTTTTAGATGTATATTCTTATGTGCTTTCTTTTGAACGCAATTTCACTCAAACAACCGATAACTATAACCAAACTGTTTATCGCAAAATGTATTTTAAACCCAAATGTATTGCAGTTAAGTAAGAATGAGGGCTGAATTGAAACGCAAACACACACTCACTGTAGAGACTGATAGAGAGTATCACTCATACAAAAAAGTCAGATATCGTATGATATTTGCTTTAAACTGAAATCATTTTTGAGATAATTATTATATTTTTCCGACTTATGATCATTGAATCTAACTGTAATGGGAAAGCAATTGTGCTCTCAGTATAGATACTCGAGAACCGGATTAATCCGACCATTAATTTACGCGTTTTAGGCATAAAATTTTCATTCATCTATTTCTCAATCTGTTATTTAAATAATAATTTTGTGATAAACTTATTTTTGATCATAATTTAAGAATAATATTTTGTCAAAACATCTTTGATTATCGAAAATGTTATTTTTCATTAAAAGTTTATAAAGCCGTTTTATTATTAATACATGTTTTACTATCATTAATACATGTATTACATTTCAGATCAAATTATAACTTGAAATGTAAAATTATTTTATATACAAATTTAACAAAAAAATATACACATTAATTATTAATGCATTAAATGGTAATTAATACAAATTAGAATAAGAAACAATAATAAAAATAATTGTATTATAAATTTGTGGCGAAGAATTTACAAAATTAGAATTCTTCTAAATGACCTGTGGTATATTTGATTTGATTTAAATGTTTGTAGATAATAAGTCTCTTTTATTTGTTATTTTCCACATTCAGTATATGTTAATCTATTTAAACCTCTATGGTCTAAACTTCCACATTCGGTCTATGACCATTGGCACGATTTGATTGTAGATTATTCATCTTATGACCGCATTCAACAAACTTATACCAACCCGCAACCGATAGGGACGAGACAATTGACAATATTCCACACTAAAGATATATTTGGATTAAAAATAGGCACCTGGGTCACATATAATAACGTATACCTATAAGAGTCTATATGCTTATACAGATTGTTCATAGATGGCCAGGAATTTTAATTTGTCTATCATTTTGAACATCTGCCTACGATTCTAATGGAATTAGTTTTATTTGAAAAATAATAGATTAGCGTTTTATGCCATATACTCTCCAATTAGAAATGATGTAGGGCACATTTAATGTTTGAGAAAGTTCCTGGAAACGTTACCCGCTTGTCGATAAATTATTAAAATCAAAATCAATCTAATTCTACTAATTACTTTGATGTTTTTACATCATGATCCTTACTTAATCTAAATTAATTGATGCTAGTATATTAATAAGATTATCACTGGTTTTGCTAACTAACCAAACATATAATCTAATTTGTTATTTGAATCAACCATTTAAACAACAAGTGTTTGTTTTTCTGTTAGTGTAACGGAAATGTGATTAAGATCTGCGAACAAAACATTTGAATCAATAACTTATTTATTAAATTATAGAATAACTACATATTTATTATCTTAATTTTAAATATAATCTTTAAAATTTAATTTTGAAAACAAAGGTTCAGATATTGTGGACGGATATACTGTATGTTGTGGTAAATACTAGTTTTATTCACTATTTAACGATAACGTTATCATTTAATGCTTAAAAGATTATTTACTATTATTACACAATTAGAAGTTATAAATTATAACAAAAAATTCATTCATTATTTTTTAATTTAAACCAATTTCTATGATTTGTGTATAATATAAGACATTGAATTAATATTAATGTTATCGTAAGAAATACTATACCATATGTTACTCACAATTAAATACATTAAGACTTTGAATCCATAGTTTATTTCACTACAAAATGTATATTTAATGCGATCATAAGCTATTCAATGGAAGGGCATAAAGTGTGCCGTATTATAAGTGTGCACGTACATTATAACTGTCTATATGATAAATCTCAAATATTATTTAAATTATAAAATAACTTAAAACTTTTTAGCATTATAACTGCTTTATAGGCATAAGTTATAAAATAATGCCAATTCGTAGTGAAATAATACAAAGTGATTAAAGTATTGTAAGAATTTCTTCCGCCAGAAATTCTTCAATAATTTTTAAATAATATTCCGGTTTTAAAAGTATTTTAGACCGAAAGGAGTTTCAATATCATTGACATAAATATGGTTTAAATTTTAAGTCTTAAAGGGATAGTTATCTTATTTTTTATGAATTTAATATTATTGACGTCTTTATGATATGAGAGTGAAAACGACAAATCGTGTGTTGGTTTAAATCACTTTTAAACATAACATTTACATTAATGATTATAACATTATTTTTATAAGACATCAAACTATTTGACAGATATTTATATAATTGATTTAAAAATTTAAAAAAAAAGATTATTAAGAGTTATATCTAATTATACATTAATTTAAATAGAAATACATTTATAAAACTATCTTTGGTTAAGACTTACCGCATATTAATATATATTTCATAAGCAAATACTCGAACTCGTATTCATAACTTAAAATCATATTAAATATAAAACAAATTTTTATATATTATTGGAATTAAAGCAATAGTAAAATTTTAAAATTGTATTAAATTAAATTAAAAGTATATAAAATTTACAAATATTATAAATATTTATGAAATAAAGCTCTTTATCTAAAGTTACGGTCTATTGATAAGAGTGTCAAATGTTTGCTTTAATTTCATTACATTTAAGTGTAAATTAATTTTTATTTATGTGTTTATAATTATGTTAAAAAAACTTAATTGACTTAATATCTCGTATTACATAAGTATATAATTAATCCTTAATTTGTTTTACAATAGCATTACAAGTACTTATAGTTTTGTAAATATAACATAAACTATTTTGTAATTTAGTTGCAAAATAGTTTAACACATGATTTCGTTATTTTAAGAAAAATTAATATATTTATAAATTAAAAATTTATTGTATAAGTTTGGCTTAAATATTAAAATAATTGATCATACATTTCAAGTCTTAAAAATCATACAGATTTGAGATAAATTATTCAAATATTATGTTTATATTAGAGTTTGGTTTAAATTCATATAACAAAATTGCAGTTATATAACAATATTTAGTATATTTATCAATATTATCAAAATGTATTCATTTAAAGTAATTTAATTTTATTCACTTATTTATGTCATATTATTTAAAATCTCAATTGAGTTGTAATTCTTAATACAAATAAATGAAAATCTATTTTTACCATATTTAAAGTTTTGATATTAATTCAAGAATAAAATTCAATTTATAGATTATATTAAAAAGCTTTATGTTTTTATTTAATTGTAATAAATCATATTTGTATTATTATTATTATTTATACACAGAGATTATTTTTAAATGTGGAATATTTTATAAAGCAAATTGTGATAATTAAATGACTTTGCAAAATATAATATACAATTGTACAACTATTAATTAATATTTGGTTTTTCATTATGTCATTTATTGTTTAATATCTCTAAAGTTATTTATTTAATTACAAAAAATTAGTCCCAATATAAGTGATTAAACTTCAAATCCAGTGTTTATACAATATATCAGTTATGTTTGAATTGAAATAGTGGTTAGCCTTCAATACAAGACAAGAAACCAAATCAAACTCAATAATGATATGTTTGCCGATAGCACTCAACAAGTCGTCAGTCATTTAAATTGTGTTAACTTTAAATAAGTCGTAAATATATAAAGTATAATAATATAAGTAAATCACAATAAAACTTAACAATTCATTTAATTGTTACATTAATTGCAAACACTGTATATCCAGTATATTCTCGTGACATTTTGTTTAAAATAAAAACATAGTTAACAATTGAGTGAAAAGTTTTTAAAAAGTTTTTGTTTAATTTTAAGCAGAAATGTCAACACAAACAGAAATGTCATTAATATGTGGCATCGATATCGGGTCTACAAGTGTTAAAATTAGTTTATTTGATACAAATGTGAAAACAATAAAAGCCACTAATAAAATTAAATACAATTTTCCGGTCGACGAAACGCTCATAAATTTTCCCAATTATTGCCAACAAAATGTGGCAATAATTGTCAATTGTATTCAAAAAACATTATTAAACTTTGACATCAGTTTGAGAACAAAAATAAAAATGATCTCAATTTGCGGACAAATGCATGGATGCGTTCTTTGGGACAATCAATCCTATTATGAATATACGGCCAAAAGTGGTGAATTGAAAGTAAGCCAAACCAATGGTGTGAGTGATTTATACAACTGGCAGGACAGCCGATGCGATCACCAATTCATAGCCTCTTTGCCCACTCCTGACTCGTACGCCACTCGTGTGAGCAGTGGTTTTGGGTGCGCCACTATATTCTGGATCAATAAACACTCGCCACAACTCTTGAGCCAATTTAATAGCGGCGGAACTGTTATGGACTTTATTGTCGCCGTTTTATGCGGACTAAAACGGCCGGTAATGAGCACTCAAAACGCCATGAGTTGGGGATATTTCGACCCTATTGTCCATTCCTGGAACGAATACATGTTAGCATTACATCCCTTTCCATCACCTATTGTCTAGTCTTAAACTATAAATATTTACAATTAACAAAAATATGCGTTTTTATACTTTCTTTTAAGACTTAAAGCCAATGATTTTCCGATTCATTTGTTGCCAATTGTGAAGAAGAGCGGATCAGTTGCCGGAGAAACACAGTTTAATTGGTTGGGAATTGAAGCAAAAACACCAGTATTGGTGGCATTGGGTGATATGCAATGCGCCACTTATGCTAATCTCAGAGATAATCCCAATAACGCGGGTATATTTTGTTACAAAACTTTGGTTTAAGACAATAACCATTTACTTACTGTGCTTTAGTGTTGAGTATCAGTACATCGATGCAAATGAGTGTTTTGATGGATAAAAGCTTTACACCCGTAAAGAGTAAAACGATTAGCAACTCATCGATTGATTATTTCCCATATTTTGATGACAGCTATCTCTCAGTGGCCGCCAGTCTTAACGGTGGAAATGTTTTGCAACATTTGGTTCAATTCGTTAGGAATACAATCAAAGACATGGCAGACATCGAGTTGAGTGACGAACAGATTTGGGCAAAGATTTTTCAATTACACGATACGGTGCCAAAAGTGAACCTAAATAATGAGCTAATAGTAAAGCCGACACTATTTGGTGAGAGACATAATACCCGTCTTAAAGGATCGGTAGTCAACATAAGTAATTCAATTACATTGAGTCAAATATTTGAGTCTTTCTGCGAGGGTTTAATCGATAATATATTTGAAATGATGTCAATTGAGTATATAATGAAAGCCGGTGTGAAGCGAGTGATCGGCACCGGGAGTGGGCTTTTCAACAATCAAATCATGAGAGACATTGTGGAGAGAAAGCTAAACATTCCTGTGATTTATATTGACGGCAATGATGCAGATGTTGGCGCTGTTTGGGTTGCTTTCGATCACTGCTTTTCAATGATAACTCAATCCTAATGTTCAATAAATGTCACACAACTAAACGAAAGCATCAAAATTGGTAATTAGTTTGACATAAACTGCTGTTTTTGGATTTAAAATAACGTTATTTTAAACTAATTTATGTGCTTCAATGTTTTGTGTGCCTTAATTGTATCACATATTACATAATAATATATGTAATTATTTTTAAAAATAAATAAATATCAATCAATTGTTTATTGAGCAAAAATTTGTAGAATTAATTTGTTAAATATTTTTAATTATATTTGGTTTTCACAAATAATAAAACGGCACTTATATTACAATGTTTACAACATTAAACAATTTTTCATTACTTTTAACTATTAATTATATGAAAACATTGTTATAACTTATGAGATAATTATTGTGCCATAAGATTATTGTTAGAATAAACCAGATTTTGTAAACAGCTTAATGTGATATATTAATGATATTTCCAAGAAGTAATGATTTAATTATAAATATTACTTAAAATACATTTAATAGATGACACAAACCATTGGAAAAGTAATTTTAGTCAATGAGTATTCATAAAGATTTACATTTAGAGTCAAAATAATAACATTTTAAATAAACTGATTTATTTACTAACATTTTTATGTCAAATATTTGTTTAGGAATAAAAAATAAATATCAATACAAGAATAAATTATATAGAATAACAATATTAACACATTAACGGCTCTTTTGATGATTATATCAAATAAATCTTCACAACAAAACTAAAGATATTTTGCTAAACAATTACTGAATATATATTCGTTTTTATAAGTTATTGATAATTTGAGTCAAATATATTGCAAGAATATATTATAGTTGTATATAAAAGCTGACCATTAAATCCTATAAAAGAAGATAATTTCCTGTATTTTATTTGCTTTTTCTATAGAAATCAAAACAGAGAATTGAAAGTCAAATAAACCGAATTAATAGTGTATATGAATGTTGTTTTGTATTATTATTTATTAGATACCAGTGATTGCGATATCCGTGCCATCAGTGCTATCAGTGCTGTCATTGCTGTCGGAATACAATTTAAAGAATTATATTTCCATCACATAATAGTGTGAATGAATATAAGTGTCTCTATATTTGAAGCATTCATTTAACACTTGAAGCAAATAAATTTCAGATCTCTTTTCACATCTTTTGGAACCGGAGAGAGAGAGGTTGCACTGTATTGTGAATTATTTAAAATTAATTTATTAATCTATATTATTAGAGAGAGAGAGAGAGAGAGAGAGAGAGAGAGAGAATTCTGTGCATTCATACATTTGTATGCAATAAAGTCAACATTAAGTTATAAATAAACGTCTATTTAGTTCAACACAACACAAAAAACTCTAAAATTCTTTCTGTAAATTCACGACTAAATAGTGTCACAAAATTTTAAGTCAATTTATTGTGTATTTAAATAAAGCATAAGCTTGTGATGAAATGATCGGTTGATATTTGACTAATCATAATATCTGTATTAATGAATGATTAATACGATTAGAGACATGGGATAAACTGGAAGTCAATGAATAAATCCCTATTCAGTGAATGCTTATCAAAGTGACAGTAATTGTTATTCAAATTTTTCTTAAACAATGTTAACAATTGAAGGCAAGAATTGTGCGCAGAATTGTCACTAAAGATATATATAACTTATATTTTGTAAAATAATTATCTTAAACATTAGACTTATCCTCACTATTATACTAAATAATCAGTCTTTAATTTACTGGTTCTTGTGTTCAATATATATATAATATTTACGACTAAAATGTTTGTTTATTTTACATTTTGCCGAAAATTTCTTTCACTCATCAAATTGTATGACTCTATTTGTTCGCCAAAAACATTGTTTATATTTCTCATACCATTTAACTATTAATTATGTGTTCAATAAAATTAATGCAATTTTATTTTTGTTCATAAAATTTAATAATGTCTTCAGAAGAAGAGGATGAGAGAAATGTTCCGCAAAATGCAAATGAAATTTTAGTGTTGCCTCAAATCCATGAAATAATACAAAGCGAACCAAATGTTGAAAATCAGAGTCAAAGTCATGAGAAATCAGTCGACGATAAGTCGGATGAAATCCCAGCAAACGATTCACGGAATACATTATGCGCTCCTCCGAGACGTCGAGGAATGGGTTCTTTGCGCAGGACTTGCAGTCCTGACAGCGTTGACAGCAGTGACACCACTCATACCCAATCACTTCAAACTAATCAAAAGCCAATCTGTGAAAGTTTGCCACAAACTCACTCTTCGCCTAATGATGACAATAATGTCATTCTTGTGGCCAAATGTGGGCAAAACACCGCTAATGATAGCAACCATTTGTTATCAAATGTGAGCGACAATTGCAAACAATTCAATGATCGCATTGAAAGCCTGTCCAGTCCTCTGCACTACACATCTACACAAATAGCGAAGAGTTATGTCCGATCGACAGGTCCGACAAATTCAACGCAAAACACTTGGAATCGCTTTGAGGAGCTATTTATGCAAACAATGAGGCGATGGAAAAGCCGGTGGTTTACTTCAGACGAGGCGAAAGCCACTCGTAAGCGAAGACTGAGCCGATTCTTGTACTACATTAAGACCATTTTGACGCATCTCTTCTCGACAACGGGTTTGTGTCTACTAGTGATCGCGTACTCATGTATGGGTGCCTTTATTTTCGCTTTCCTTGAGTCCCAACACGAAGAACAGACACAAAATGATGTGGAAAAACAGCGACAAGATTTCGCTATAGATCTCTGGAATCAGACGAACACTTTGAATATTTTATACCCCGAGAGATGGATAAATGAGACTAATATTAGACTCAAGAAGTTTGAGGAAATCATTGTGAAGGCAGTGCGAGAGGACGGCTACGGCGGCACTTCAGAGCAGTGGACCTTTTCGGGGGCTCTTCTCTATAGCGTTACTGTTATTACAACTATCGGTGAGTTTTGTTCAATACTTTGCATACTTTTTTTCATGTTGTATACAGTATTATTATTTGATACATTATTATTCACAATTTGATTTGATATAAACTGTACAAAAGATTATTAAAATAATTACATAATTTTTATAATGTTATTCATTTACTAATAAAAATATTAATGTAATTAAAACTACTAACTACTAAAATATATACCATTTTTTAATAATATTAAAAATAATTACTTTAAGGATACTGTAAATATCAATAACCGATTATTCTTAAGTAACCTGCAATTATGTATTAAATGATATTTCATTAGTTTATTCATTAATTTGATAGAATACTTTTAGTCAAACCTAATTCATTGATTTGCTTAAATATTATAATTTAATTATTTAGCTCAATAACCTCATGTTAATTCAATGCATTTAATCTAGCTTACATTACTCATTAAAATGAATACGTTACGTTATATTGTGGAAAATATAGTGTAACAGAATATTTTCTCAATTTACTACAAGAATAACATAAAATTATTTTTATTTGAATTTTTTTTAAACCTAAGTTTAAAATTACACAAAAATATTAGATAATAAATAATTGAAAAATGTTTATAAATAAATAATAATGCAATTTATAATGGTTTGATTTATACAACAAATATTTGATTAAATATATATTCATTTATTTAATATTAAGAACATTTAATATTTAAAGAGTATTTTAATAAAATGTTTATAAATCAATCAATTATTAAATAGTTGTTTGAATTTTACAGAATAACACAAATCTTTTTTATAAGAATTCAATTTATTTACTATCGATTTAGCCATTCATTGAATCATCAAATTATGCCAAACAAATTCATAACAAGTAGTGAAACATGATTTCAACANGATCGACAGGTCCGACAAATTCAACGCAAAACACTTGGAATCGCTTTGAGGAGCTATTTATGCAAACAATGAGGCGATGGAAGAGCCGGTGGTTTACTTCAGACGAGGCGAAAGCCACTCGTAAGCGAAGACTGAGCCGATTCTTGTACTACATTAAGACCATTTTGACGCATCTCTTCTCGACAACGGGTTTGTGTCTACTAGTGATCGCGTACTCATGTATGGGTGCCTTTATTTTCGCTTTCCTTGAGTCCCAACACGAAGAACAGACACAAAATGATGTGGAAAAACAGCGACAAGATTTCGCTATAGATCTCTGGAATCAGACAAACACTTTGAATATTTTATACCCCGAGAGATGGATAAATGAGACTAATATTAGACTCAAGAAGTTTGAGGAAATCATTGTGAAGGCAGTGCGAGAGGACGGCTACGGCGGCACTTCAGAGCAGTGGACCTTTTCGGGGGCTCTTCTCTATAGCGTTACTGTTATTACAACTATCGGTGAGTTTTGTTCAATACTTTGCATACTTTTTGCATGTTATATATTATTATTCACAATTTGATTTGATATCAACTGTACAAAAGATTATTGAAATAATTACATAATTTTTATAATGTTATTCATTTACTAATAAAAATATTAATGTAATTAAAACTACTACCGTAACTACTAAAATACATACCATAAAGTATATACCATTTTTTAATAATATTAAAAATAATTACTTTAAGGATACTGTAAATATCAATAACCGACTATTCTTAACTAACCTGCAATTATGTATTAAATGATATTTCATTATTTTATTCATTAATTTGCTTAAATATTATAATTTAATTATTTAGCTCAATAACCTCATGTTAATTCAATGCATTTAATCTAGCTTACATTACTCATTAAAACAAGGATCACACGCGATGCTAAGTCTATGGGTAATGCTAAGTCTATGACATAGGGATAACATGGGCAATGATAAGTCTATGGGTAAT